AAGCAATCACTTGAATAACGAATCAACAGCAATTATGAACCAACAGCAGCAACGAACCAACAGTAGCAACGAACCGATAGTAGCAACGAACCTACAGCAGCAACGAATCAACATAAAAAAAACGAATACCAGTGATAATGAACGAAAACGGCATGCTACAGATGACTGCTACAAAGACTTCTAACAACGTATCAAACCTCTGCTCTGATACCATGATAACATTGTCATATGATTATATCAAAGAGAAATTACAAGGGTTCTCAGAGAAAAGCATAAAGACTACAAGGAATAAAGCGGATATAAATACTAGCTAGACAGAAACCCTAATGGGCTAAAGACAAAAAGGGCCCATAAACAAGCGGGCTAATAATATAGACTAACAATTGTTGTACACGGATTAGATAAAATTCTCGAGTTCATACTTCATATGATAAATTCACTTTCGATTGTGTTGACTGGTTGGCTAATGTTTTTTGATGTCGTAAAGATGTGCTTATTTATCTGAAACTCCTATAGGGAAAAATTTACGGTGGTTGGTTTCTGTGAATGGGAGCAACATAAAAGCGGAAGAAGAAGATGATGGATAAAGATGTGAGGTGGATTTCAGTTTAATTTCTTTTTTAAGTGAAAAAGCCACATGATTAAGGAAACCAGTAATTACAGATTAAGGTTTCTTTTAACAGGTAAAAATGGATTTTGTGCCCCTAAACAACAAAAAAACATGAAGGACCATTTAAAATAGAACTTGATAGTTGGTTTGGGCTACAATGACATTAACTCATTACTTAGAGGGTGTTTGGATAAATTAGCTTATAGTTTATTAGTTTATTGCTTATTAGCTTATTAGTGGTGAGAGAAATCAGTTTTTGCAAAATGTTTGGATTAGAAATAAGCAATAAGCTATAAGCAAGGGGAAATGCTTATTAAAATTAACTTATTTAGCTTATCCCCACCGTAATAAGCTGATTTTTAGTGTTTTCTATCCAAACACTTAAACTTAGCTTATAGTGGTACGAATAAGCAATAAGTAATAAGCTCCCTCTTTTTTCCTTATCCAAACACCCTCTTAAAGAGCTAATTCGAAGAAATAACAACGTGTTTGTATATACTCTTATTGTCATGTCGTTGGATGCTACCTCATTCTACGATGACCTAACAAGTAAAAGAAGTCTAAAATCTTAATTTTTGAGAGTTTGTTTGTTGTTCTTTCAAAGCTCCAGCTTTCAACAAAATTTTAAATGAGGGTTTTAAAATATAACTGTAAGTTTATAATTTATGTTGGTTAATATAAAATTTAAAGTTATATTAACATAAAAGTTGAGCGGGAAATCCATGACTTTTAGATAGGGTTCATCATTTTCCATTGGGGATGAAGATATAAGGACACATTTTTATTCCCATTTGGGATGCCGGATTGAGGCGGGATAACGGGATGAGGATGTGGAATAAGGTCCCTGATACTCCTCTGTCTCATTCCTATCTCTAGTTATAAGAAAATATTATAATAATATTGTCCTATTATCGGTTGAAATTTAATACATATCTACAAAATAAAATCAACATGTTTTGATGATTTACCAACCAAAAAATTTATATGGATGTAACTCATGTCCTTAGAGCATCTCCAAGTACACTTTTATTTTTAAAGTGTAAAATAGAGTTTATAATGGTTCATCACTTCATCTACAAGGTCACTCTAAAATAAATTTTACACTTTAATAGAGTGTGAAATTAGAATGTCAGAAATAGTATAACTAACATTCCAAATTTAGAGTGTAATGGTTTATTTTACTATTTATTGAGTGTAAAATAAAGTTGAGTTGGAGCTGTTACAATCAATAAATAAAGTATAATTTCAAAATATAATGAGGTTGGATATCCTTTTAAGGTTTTTGTGTCACTCTCTTGTAGGGGTGGCAATTTATGACACGACACGACAAAAATACACGACACGAAACGAAATTGGGACGAAAATGAATTTTGAATTCGTGTTCGTGTCGTGTTCGTGTTAAGTGTCAAAAACACAATGTCGTGTCGTGTCGTGTTCGTGTTCAAAATTCGACACGAAATTGACACGATTTAGCGTTTCCTTGTCGTGTTTTTCGTGTTTGTCGTTTTTATCGTGTTATGTATGATTAAGTATTCATTAAATAAACTAACTTTTATTTATTTTATCTTTGTCATGTTGTGTCGTGTTTGTCGTTTTTTAATTCGTTCGTTTTCGTGTTAGTTAAAAAAAACAACATCGTGTCGTGTCGTGTCGTGTTCGTGTTATATAAAACCTTGTCGTGTCGTGTCGTGTCAGACAGAAACACGAAGCGATAGCACGATTTGCCACCCCTAGTCTCTTGGTTGTGAGGCGTAAAGACTCATGAAAAGAAACCAGAGAAAATGAAATGTCTTGCTTGCAAATTATGAGAGATAGAGATAGAGAAATGAAGAACTTGATTTTTGTTTGTGTAAACTAATATGTGGTACACATGGAGAAAGAGAAAAAACCTTATCCATTTTCCTTTAGTATTTTCAACAACCTTAAATTGCATATTATTCATTATGAAAAACATATTTTAAAATACTTTTGCATTTTGCTTACAGTAACAGTTGTTTCTAATTGGTGATTGTTATAATTTTATGGTTTTTTTTTTTGTGTACAAGTAGGCCAACCATATTTATAGAGATAATTCAGAGAGTTGGTTGTATGTTGAAAGACGATAAAGGAAATATACAGCAAAAAGCAGGGTGCGGGGGATTTGGCAAGGGGAACTTCTCGGAGCTCTTCAAATCTATAGAGGAATATGAGAAGACACTTGAACCACCATTGAACCAATAGCCGATAAGTGAAAAATGCTAATTGGTAAAAATTCCCACGTCTTGTTGACGTGTATGTGTATTCTATGGAAAATATTCCTACAAATGTATGGGAATAAGTGTACGAAATATGAAATGTTAATCATATTTAATCAATCTTTGCTTGAAAAAACAAGTTCTATTTGTAACCAAAATGACTATGTAATAACCTTAAAATAAAATAACAAAAGTTATTTTACTTTATGTATTTTGATTTTAGTATATAGAAT